AGGCTGCACAGCAGAGCCCCTCACTCTGTGCCCATTCGAAGTGACACGTTACAGCTTCTCTCTCATCCTGTGCTTGCTTCCGGAAGCCAGGGCCCCACAGGGGCTGGAGGCCTTTCTGGAACAAGGCATTGCACAGAGGGACTCTTTGCCAAGTGACTCATTTCCTCTGCCTTCTGTTAAATGGTTTGTAAAGGTAGACAGCTCCCTTTGCCGGGGGAGGGCAGTGGCCCTCACATCCTCTTGGCTGTGATCAGTCCTGTGGTCAGTACTCGCAGTGGTCGGTACTCAACTCACCAGGAAAGAAAGATGCCTGCTTGGACTGACCACGGGCACTTTGACTGGGGACATCTTGGACGAAGCAACATTCTTGGCCCTGGGCCAAGGCCAAGGTTTGCATAAAAGCGTTGGACCATCAGGCCCTGGAGGGCCTCTTGGTCCTCCTGGATGATTTCCAGGGCACATCTAGGGAAGGTGCAACAAAAGAGGAACCCAACTGGGGTGTGACCTGTTGACATGACATGCAAATCTGCCTTCATATGCTAATGTTGTGATGTTTTTGGAGGATGTGTTTGTATGAGATGGAATGGTCTCCAGGACTTCAAAAAATGTGCCTCTTCTCAAACATTGCAGTTAATTAGTTCCTGGAATGATCAAGAACTGTGGTCTCATGTTTCCATGTCACCTTTACTAAGACAGTTAGAAATCTGACCGCTGAGGGTGCACAAGCAATGAGCAGGTAAAGGATCCCCTGCTCTTGGTTTTCTGACCCCATGTTCAGAAAGGGAAAGGCAGTGTCACCCCATCGTCAGTTCTAGAATGCTAATTTTGCGGCAGGGACCACACATTAGCCTATTTCCAGGGAAGCTGATTTATTTCCAGATAACTGTCTTTGCTTAAAAAAAAAAAAAACAGCTAGAACTCGGTCCTAATTTAATACAGTGGTTTTCCACTGAGGACAGTTTCATCTCCCCAGGGGACATCTGGCAATGTCTGGGGACAGTTTTGGTTGTCACAACTGAGGGGAGGTAGCCCTCACATCTAGTGCGTAGAGGTCAGGGATGTGCTAGACATCCAACCCTGCGCAGGACAGTCCCACGACAAAGAAGTATCTGGCACAAAATGTCAGTGGTACCGAGGCTGGTAATAAATAAGATTTATTTTCTAATTTGTTATTCCACGTTTTCTCTCAAGTAAAATAAAATCAGTCGGGATGATAAATTGTTATTTAAGATGTTCCCATGAATTGATACGTCTTGGCTTCTTTTGTGTCGAAATCTACCCTGTGTGAATAGAGCATTTTTCAGTTGATGTTCAGGCTGCCGTGGCTGGAAAGGGCACGTTGGGCGTTCTCATTCTCAGATCCGCTGTTGGATCAAGTGAATGGATCAAGGCACTGGTTTTAGGAAGACGTGGGCTCCTTAAAAAAAAAAAAAATCAACATAACTCCCTTCTCCCCCAGTACCTGCTCAAAAAAGTAGTTTCCATGTCTTCGTGGACTTGACCTTGAAATTATACACTTTTGTCTTGGAACAAGGTGCAACTTCTTCCTAGGTAGAAATTTTTCAGTTTCCCTGGGAAAACAAACTGATAAATTGGTTCTGAAAGCTTTTAAGTCACCGTTTTTTGGTCAGAGTAATACTCCACTAAAAGGAAGATTTCCTTGATGCCAGTCAGAATCCCAAAAGTGACAACCACGTTGGCCCAAGTGAGTTGGGGTGTGATATGGAAATTCCTCTGAAACTAGGCAGGCGACCTGACCTGCATGCTGGGCATCACCCAGATGTTACAAAACACTGAGCAGCATTGTGTCTCTGTTAGAATTCGTTTGAGTACCAAAAACTGGGGTGTTCCGTTTTAATACACTATTATTATCCAGCATTCTTTGATGAGAAAGTCCCCCAAAGATGTAAAAGGCCGTGAAGTTTTCACATAAATTTGGGACATCGTTTCAGATTTCTGAACACAGCAAATTATGTGAGAGTTGAGTTTTTTTCCTAAAACTTCCCCATCCCGCAGTACCTAGTGGATGTGCACGGAAAACAGGTGCCCCGTTAAGTGTGATGTTTCCAGGGTCGCGGTCAGCACCGACTTCAGCCAGCAGGACTAGGACGTCTTGTGTATTGATTTTCCCACCCGTTGCCCCATTCTCTCCCCTCACCCGACCTCCTTTGCCTCAGACATCTTTGGGTAGGATAGCAACACCATCAGTCCTGGGACGGTTAGGCTTGCCATGAGGGCGTGTGGGTTTTGGACCAGATGAATTGGGAGGTCCTCCCTCATCCTCAGACTCTAGAAATTCTGAAGATAGCTGCCGTGCTATCACTGCAACTCCATGTCCTCCCCCCAACTCTTGAGGGAATCCCACCTACAGAGACACGTGGATGAGGAAGGCCACCCCGTGAGTCCTCCACCCTTGGCCAATTGGTTCAGGAGGTGGTCCTCCAACCCAAGGCAGTCCAGCTCACATCCGTCATGCTGGCTCAGAAAGCCAAGCTGGATCAATGGAATTCTTCACTTGGCATTGCGAAACAGAGCGGCAGTGAGCCACGGGGACAGAAATCAAAATGATGTGTCCAGAGTTGTAATGAGGCCATGGCAGAAGCCTTCCAGGAGCCCAGGGATGAGGAAGCAGGATTGATCTGGAAAGGGAGGTGGCGCTGTCGAGAGGACGATGGAGCTGAGCCACAGGGAGGAGAGGTGCCACCATGAGAGATGTGGGGTGCTTTGGAGGGGCTAGATAGGAGTGCAGACAGACAGACAGACAGAAACCCTCCATGCAACCTGGAGAGAAAGGAAAAGCAGCTGCTGGAGTCCCTGGAAACATTCTTGTTCCAAATCATACATCCCTTTATCACACTCTGTTCCCTTGCAGTATCCTGAGTTGTTTCTGTTCCTTGTAGTCATGTGAAGTATGTCTTCTGAAATATGTCTTCCTTGCTTTCCAAATGCCTACTAAGAAATACAGTCTGTTAGAAATACAGGCTCAGCAGGAAAGGGCTATCTCTTCAACTCCTCCCACCAGCCCCCAGTTCATGGGCGAGGTACCCTGTGGTCTTGTCCTGATGTCATAATACACAGTGGAGAGGTGCCTGGGAGAGAGGACCTTGCTGTCTGACTCCAGAATCCCAAAGATGCCAATTTGAGAAGTATGGCCCAAGACCCTTAGTATCAACCAAGACTGTGTACAGTCTAATCTCAAATACAAATCTCTTTCTTAGCCTAAGAGCCCACCATTCTAGGTTCTTGACAGTGTGGTCATTGGCGTCAGCTAACACGTGTGCCTGTAAGAAGAGCTCTGTCCACTGTGGCTGAATTCAAAGTCCTTCAGCAGCCTATTGCCTCAATTCATCAGGGAATGAAAACTTAAGACAATTTGGTAAAAATAAGAGATTTTGAAAATTGGCATTAGAAATGAAAATTAATTGGAATCTTGCTAAACTGTACTATTTATTTCCATGTTCCTTTAAAAATCATATCCTGAGCACAACTGAATCTTCTGTGGATTCAGCATATGATGTTCTTGATACTCCTTGATACACAATTGCAGCCAAAGTAAATGTCCTAAAGAGCTTGCTCTGAGCCCCTCCAGGGAATAAGCGTAGCCTCTGGACCGCGAGCTGGGGTTCACACGTTAGCCTGCGGTTCGCCAGCCTGAGAGGTAATTAACTGCTCTGAGCCTTACATGGCTGACCTGTGACACGGGAGCAGTAACAGCTCCCGTGTAGAGCAGGGCTTCTCAGCTTTAGTGGTACGCGTGAGATACTTGGGGTCTTGGTAGAAAATGCTGGTGCTGACCCAGACCATCTGGGGCGGGGCCGAGACCCTGCATTTCTCACAAGCACCTGGATGATGCTGGGGGTGCTGTTGATCAAAGCACAGGCCTCGGGATCTCTGGGATCCTGTAGAGTGCTTGGCCCTGAGTCGCTGGCAGATCAGTGAATAAATAATTCCTTTTTCCTCTTTACTTTTGCCTTCCTGCTACTCCTGTCAGACTGCCTGCTGTCATGTGACTTTTTATCATTGGTAGTGCCTGATTCCAGTCACCTGCCAGGCTCCCTCCCCATGAAGCACATTTGGAGACGTTGCTACTGCTGGTCTCTGGTGCCTGGCCCCTTAGAGAGGGGCACATCTGGTCCGCAGTGGCCTCTGAGAGGAGGCGAGAGGCCCGGTGTCTTCTTCCTCGTCACCTGCTGTCTTAGTTTGTACAGTCGGCGTAGTGGTCAGGAACGCAGGCTCGGCGCCAGATGGCTGGGCTCAAGTCCTGCCTGTCCCGCCTCTGCCTGACCTGGAGCAAGTTGCTCAACTTCACGGGGCCTCGTTTTTCACGGGGGTGACGATCGAGTCTCTGTAGTGCTTAAATGGGGTAATATATGCGAAGTGTTTAGAAAATGGCCTGGTACAGAGTAAGTCTAAACGTTTGCTACTGTCATAAATGTCATTATTGGGATCAGATAGGAAACAGAGTTGATAGGGATGTGAGACTGGGGGCAGGGGGTATGGCGGGTGGCAAGGTAGAGCCTGTGGGAAACTGGCAAACAAGCCTGTTCAAAGATGCTCAGATTCCAGTTTTTGAACTATGTCAGTGGTTGGCAAACTCTGACTCAGGGGCCAAATCTGCTTTTGTAAATTAAGTTTTATTGGCACACAGCCACACCTGGATTGGT